AGTCCAATAGCACAACAGAAATCCCTGCTCAAAGACCTCAGCATGGTGTCCACTCACACGAGAGCAGAAGTGACGTTGTCCAGATCGCACATAGGAGCGACATAGCATATAAACAACACCTGCCAAGATGTGAAGGCACAGATACAACGTTATTGTCATCTAAATGTATGGGTTTTGTTACCACTCTTAACCTCACGCATATCTCGCGGTGGTGCGCGAAAATTGCCATACTCTATGACACCGGTACCTGCCACAAGTCAGGTAAGCGTGCGCATACAACACTTCGGCCGAAGGACGATGGGGATAGATGATAAAGCGACATGTGGGTGAAAGAGGATTGTGGGATACTGGATGATTGCAACAAAGGAGATCGAGAAAATAACCGATCACGTACCCTTGGCTTTTTGCTTCTTTTTCTTCCTCGTGTCGAGCTCCTCAGGAGCCGGCGGGAGATCATCCAGTAGGTTCGGCACTGTCGCGTAATCAAATGCCTCATCCTCACCCATGTCGTCCTGATCTCCGGTTTGGGGTTTGTCCAATACAGTAGTTTTGATCCGTTTGCGCTTCTTCTGCCTGGCCTGACCCACGACTACAATGGTATCATCTGAAACAGGGGCGAGACGCGGCTGCCGCTGATCGGTAGGAATGAACGGGATTTCTACTTGTCCAAGGATACCGTCAGGTGCTTCTGCTGAAGCTATGCTGGAGAAAGGCATCGCTGGATGGGTCGAGGCAGAGCCCGAGGAGACGCTAGATTGGGAAACTATCTGAGAACCGACTTGGATAATCTAAGTATTGAGATGACGATAAGATATGTGGAAATGCAGGGATTGGCTTGCCTGTGGTTGATTAGGTGCAATGACGAGGGTCCGGTGTATCCGTGTCACGAGGTCACTAAATTTCTTTCTACTGGTCGATATAATTGGTACTGAGCTCTGAAAAAGATGATCGCATCATAGAAGTATGCAGGCGAGTGGGCTAACTTACTTGAGGCGTCATGCGAGAAGGTAGTGCGGCACCGAATAATGAACTTCGCGAAGCCGAGTATGAACTTCCTTCGTCAGCCACTGCGGTCCGCGAGCCGAAGAGAGAGGAAGAGGATGTACGCTGAACAACTGAGGAAGAAACTTTCACTGACCCCCACAGTTTAGATTTTGCAGTTTCTTCGACTACAACTTCAGTCGAGGCAGCTGGTTCGACTTCTTCGACATTTGTGATCGTCGCGACAGCCCCAACAGCAACTCCTGAAGACGTCACTCGCTCCACAGTGGACTTAATGACTTCTGCAAGTTCACCTGCTCTTCGTCGTAGGACAGGGGGAACACTGGCGTGTGAGAAGAGCCCGAGGAGTTGAGCAGCATTGGATGGTGACCTCTCGGCCACAATGAAAAGTTGGTGATTTGGGAGAACATATCTAGACCCCAGGTTAGTAAATATATAAGCAGAGGGGGCCCACCAATTCTGTGGAACCAATGGTCCCCCAGATATGGAGGCGATATTTACCTCGTACTCTCATCTTCCTCCTTTGCTATGTCCTCCCTCCATCGATGTACTGCCCTGTATATCTCTCCAATTACACCACCTCGTACACCATTAGTCTCGCTGGCACTGTTGGCCAATGCACCCTTGTTCCATTTCCGTGCAAGCGTATCCCAGCCACCTGTACCTACGCCAAACTCGGCGTCGTATGCCTCGCGATCATACAACCTTAGCGCAGTGCGAGTCGAACGTGCCAATACATCATTCAGTAGCACGTGCGCTGGCTTATCGGAAATAGTGCCTTTGAGTATAGCAGATATTGCGGTCGAGAAAGATGCTTCTGGACCAATGATGGTCTGTGCACGCTCGATAAGGGAGAGTCGAAGTCGATCATAGATATACAACAGGAAGTGAGTATCAGAGCGTGCATATGTGAGCATCTCCTCTGGCAATGGACTTCACAGATTGAAAGTTAGCTATTATATCCTCAAGAGGAAGTGGATCAAATTGGAGGTGACGCAAAGTTGATAACGTATACAGAAACAGAATAGCCATCATGGGAAGCTCACACATGATGCGGACGCAAATTGGTTCCAAAAAACCAGCGTTCCGTCGGTCCTAACAAAACCAAACAAGTGAAGATAAAAGTGAAGCAATATTGATGATATGACGAGGATAGACTGACTGAAATAGGTTTCGTTGATTCCAATAAGAGCGTAGGCATCAAACCCAAGGGCGTCACCCCAGGTACGATCCGTCCCGTGATTTGGAGGAGGAAGGAAAAAAGAGAGGCCAAAAATAATTTCGACATACCGAATGCGCCAATCGGCTAGCTGATACCGCTTATCAGGTATGAAATCGCAGAATGCCTCTAGCAAATTCGCAAGGCCATGCTGCTGAAAGTCTAGCACCCTTGAGGCATGATATGTGTCAAACAGTCCAACGACAAAAATATTGAAGTCTTGCTGGAGCCATACAATATCACTCTCTGCACCATGGAAGACCTAAAAGCCATAAGAAAATGAAACACAAAGCTGCCCCCTACGAATTATGCAAGCGCACCTTGACAATCTCTGGATCGGCAAAAATTTCACCGAGTGCGTTACCTATCGAATCTCGTACACTTGGTACCAGCAAGTCGATTATGAAATCCTCCTCGCGTGTGCTAATCTGCATCAAGCAAAGAAATCCTCTGTATGTGCGATATGAGTGGTGCTCAAGGTCGACAGCGATCTCTTTCGCTGTTTTGAGTTTTGTAGCCATCGACAAGAGAGCAGATGGAGTTGAGACATATATGTGCTTCGAGACGTCGGTACCTGCGAGAGAAGCAGGACGATCGGTGGTAGGGGTTAGATGGAAGAGATGAGTAGGGAATGTCGGATGGGTGAGCTCATAATAATAGGGGTGCGCCGATCTGCAAGAACTGAGATAGCGATTGTCGCAAATTTAGAAAGGACGAACAGCTTTTGCTTTTCTTCCTCGTCCATGCTACCACTCTCGTCTTGGTCATGAAATATGTATCCAAGCGGTACACGAGCACACCACTTGTGCTCAAGAGTACGGGCTGGAATATACGGTGACTCATTCCGGTTGTCCACTTTGGTATTGAACAGCAGTTGAGGCTTTGGTAGATGAGAAGCATGCTGTAGCGCAGGGTCAAGGCGTCCTCTGGGGGCTGAGGGTTTCTATGCAGTAATAAATACTTAGTAGTCACGAATTTTGAACGGTATCGGATGTACCTTTGATGTATTGTTGCTCTGATTCGGTAGAGCGGAAACCGTGATAGCAGGCTCTTTCTTACGCCCCAAATAATCATCCAAACACATGTCTGTCCTCTCAAAAAGTCTGTCCACCGGGTCGACGATCAAGGATTTGAAACCGTCCAAGACGTCCTCCTCGCCATCTAGTGTGCCACACCCCACAGCACTGCTATCCACAGAGCCTGCAAGTCGCACGAGCCTGTTGGTAAGCCGGAGGACTCGGGTGGATAGCGAGTCAAGCTCCGCAGCAAATGACACATGTATGGAACGGTGGAATTCTATGTCTGGTGGTAGTGTAGTAGCGGCCAGACGAGTTGTAGCCAGTGCAGCCGATTGCACAGAGGTCGCGTAATCAGAGAATGTACCGGGTAAGATCATAGCGGCAGATGGCTCAGCCACGGTGTTCGTGCTTGCCATGTGTTACAGCAACTGAAATATTTGTCAGTTTCACGTACCTGCTGTGCGTCGGAGAAAGATTTGTATGCACAATGGCGGGCCTCGAGGAGAACACGACTCCACACAGTAAAAAAATTGTCACGTGAGGAGCATGGCAAGGGACGGTCGACTGTTTTTTAAACTCCGCTCACCCGACCGTATGTGACTCCCCCTTTGGTAACCAAAGAAGGAAGGCGACCCCCAAGAAAGCACCTCGTTAACCCGACTTTATTATACTACTTATCCCTTCTGGTGCAGTCAGCACCTGCTGAAACCATCCCTCTGGCTACAATTAGCACGGATGTCCCCCTTGTTTTTTTTTTTTTTTGGACAAGCACTTAGTTTAGTAGCCACTGACTAATCTAGTTCTACTAAACACGCTATATCGGTGACCTTGGGAGGCACCGGTCTCCCCCTTGATTTTACAAGTGGGTACATCCACTGCTAAATAGCAAATACTATGCTTGTTCACCTATGCCGAATACTAACTCACCTGCACTGTTGCCGAGTTCACTTTTGAAATCGGCCTTTGTGAGATGCCGTGATTTACAGTGACATTTGCGTGACTGCCGACTTTTGTGGGGTGCCGATTACACTGCATCTACTAATACTAGTACGATGAATATCTGTGGCTCATCAGTCTTCTGATGGCTGACTCACTTGCGGCTGTACACGCAGTCTGAACGGTGATTACTCGTGCCCTGCAGTGATACAATTCCAGGAAACTGAAAATTTTGGTAACAGGGGACGGTAGGCTCTCATCTTGCAATACCAAGCAGCTAGTTGCGCAATGTCACTACGTGGTAGTGAAGTCAAGAACTACTAGTGCTGCGACGAGTACCTGATTATTTAAAGATAGCACCGCTAGCAGTCTCCCGGTGGGCTTACGCTGGTGAGTCTCAGTGACCTGAATCGCATATTCTGACACTCCGAGTCTTGGCGCATAGGATCAACCCCATCTATTCTTGTAAGCTTCAGTCATGCAAGTCATGGATCAAATATCTGATTCAACTCGTACTTGCTAGGCGTGGTAATTTGCACGTTCCACTCCACTTGAAGCTGGCTCCGTTGATGCTACACTGGATGCATCACTCTGGCAACCGGTTCATGTCCTAAGACACGCATTTGACAATCAAAGTGGCCATGCAAGCCGCTCACCAAAGTAAAACCGGAAGACAGCCTTTGGTCGACTTCATCGTCGTCACTTTGCGAATCTGCATTTTGGTTTGGGAGCACATATCGTTGAATGGTGTGCTCGGGGCCACGCTGGCCAGAGTCCAATTTTTCAGTTGATTCCATGCATTTTTACTTGTTTCAGGTTCCTTCGCTATAGTGCCCTTAATGCGCCAGTGAGTCATTGCCGGGAATTGCCTATAATGGCGACTCGGGAATTTCTGAATATAATGCCTGAATAGTGCCCAGCGTCAAATAACGTGCTGACCACGCAAAACGTATATCAGGCCATGCAATGCCGACACTGCTACATACACTCAGCAAACCTCGTGTTGTATGACCACTGGGTAATACTTTGCTTGAGGTATGTTGCTGTGAACCGGACTTTGACCATTGCATTTGTTACCGGAGTATCGAATGTGCTGTATAAATTGCTCCGAACAATGAAGATGTCCTTTCAAAAATCACCCGTGATGAATTCACAATATCGTACGTTGGAAGAGCTGACAGCAAACCTTGAAAGCTGCCAGATTAATACAAACGCGACAGATGATTTCTTCAGTCACGGGTTTATTGCCAATCCCATTGGCCCATACCAAAATTTTCCGAGTCAGGCGATGTGAGTACCGTTCGACGTTGACTAAGCTGATATCTTCTGACACCTCCACCACGCAATCAACAGCATCGATAATGTTACACCAGGTGTTGTGCCTGTACAATTGGCTTCCCCTGTAGGCTTGTCTCCACCCAGCAATTTCACGGAGCATCAGTAAGTCCCATCCACTTCAAAGTTCGAGTCAGTACGTCAGTACTTAACCATCTTGCAGATCATGGGACAACTTTGTCACGAGTCACATCGCTTCCCCAACGGTCAACACACAAATGGCATCATTTGTTGAAGCCTACCTTGTCCGTCTTCAGGCAGTACACGGTCGACAGCTGACCGTTAGCGAGGCAATCTCGATTATCAGGTATTACCTGCAGGTAGCCCACCCTTCCTTGCATCACGATGCACACTTCAGACACTTCGCATCTCCGTTGATGCCACTTGTCGCTCCTGTCGAAGTTTCTCCCATGTCTTCCGATGTTGTGGACATGGGTCCAGGAACCGGCGCAGGTATTTCCTTGGAAGGATCGGCTGTGTCTGAAACCGAAAGCACTTTTGGGATTTACGACATGGATTCTCTTCGTCGTATCTTTGTAGAAGAAGGCCGGTTCAAGGTAGAGTGCTTGTGGCCCAAGTGCGGGAGAATAGTGATGAAAGACAATCACCCCCGGCATGTACGGGAATGTCATCTGCGTGCCAGGAGAGGAGCTGTGCGCACAAATGAGCTGCCTGGCGGCTGATGCAAGGAGCTTTTCTGACGGATTGTATTTCTTTTTAATCGATTGGGAAGATGTTTTGTATCGTATAGAACGTAGCATCATATCATAAAAGTCTTAATATGCGCGCTTAGATCAAGAGAAGACTATTAATGTTTTTCATAGAAGATTGAATATGAGAACTTCGAAGACGGAGCGCCTTGAAATTTTCAGAGCTTCTGTCAAGCTTACTAAGCGAGATCTGGATTTCGATAGGGCGGCCACTTCGCAACTCTCCCATGAGCTTTGCGGCGCACTGACCCCTTCGTATCCTCTTGCGCGTCCAGCAAAGCCAGACCTTCCCACACACGGTTTAAACCTCTCTAGTTGTCTCACTACTTTGTCTACTTCACTTCTTCAATATTAGTTATCCTATTGATTCTACTATATACATAGAATATCTCATCTTCACCTCAACCACGCATTAATACAAAGGCGGCCAGTACGTTAAAATTCTCCACCTTTCAAAAGACGTACGTCAGAGTACTGGTCTCGAGTCGGGGATCACGCTACTACGGTTAAGTAACCTTGTGTTTTGATATCGACGAACTTTGGAGGAACTTCGGTTTTCTGCCAGTTTCTACCAGTTTCTACTAGTTTCGATCGTCTTGGCGTACGCAGCATGTTCATATAGGTGACTGACAAATTATTTTTTATCCAGACATTTGCGTCTGACAAAACTTCGTTGAAGTCGGCTACCGAGAACGTGTAAGTACCCGATCATCTAAAGATAGCACCGCTGGCTTACACTGGTACCAAGTCTCAGATCTCAGTGACTTAATCACATATTCTAAGTATTAGTGCATAGGAAATTCGCTCTGTAAGCTTCAGTCCTGCAAGTTATGGATCAAAAATTTGATTCAATTCGTAACTTAGGTCTGGTCATTTGCAAGTTCAAGCTGACTCCGTCGGTGCTACACTCGATGCATCACTTTGGCAACCGGTCAGCTACTAAGACGCGCTTTGATAGACTTGGATCAAGTGGCCATGCAAGCCGCTCACCAAAGTAATACCGTAAGACGGCCTTCAGTCTCCTTCAAAATTTATCTTGATTGACTTCGATGATTGGCACCTTGCGGTGCATTTAATTTGGGAGCACATGACATTTGAATTCGGGTGCGCTCAAGGCCACGAAGGCCAGAATTCAATTTACATTTTCACTAATTCCCATTCCTTCTCTATACTGCGTTCAATGCCCCAGTCATTGCCGGGAATTGCCTATGAGTCAGAGGGTGACACAGGAATACCTGAATATAGTGCCCACTGCCTAGTGTCAAATTATACGCTGACCAATCAAAACAAGTATAGGTCATGCAACATCGTCACTACCAGAGCTCCATACACTCAGCAAAAATAATGTATAATTACTGAGTAATATTTGTTTAAGGTATGTTGCTGTGGGCTGGACTTCGATCGATGATCATTGCATTTATTGCCGCAGTCGCGGCATTGAAAGCACTGTTGTATAAATTACTCAGATGTCCTTTCAATAATCACCGGCACCCGTGATGAATTCGCAATCTTGGATGTTGGAAGAGCTAACAACAAACCTCGAGAGCTGCCAGATTAACACAAGCGCGACAGATGATTTCTTCAGTCACGGGTTTGTTGGCAGTCCCATTGGCCCATGCCAGGATATTCTCAGTCAGGTGATGTAAGTAGTGCTCAACGTTGACTCGACTGATATGTTCTAACACCCTACCACGCAATCAACAGCATTGATAATGTTACTCCAGGTGTTTTGCCTGCAGAATTGGCTTACCCTGTAGGCTTATCTCCACCAAGAAATTTCATGGAGCATCAGTAAGTTCCATTCACTCCAAGGTTTGAGTCAGTACTTGACCATCTCGTAGATCATGGGACAGCTTTGTCAGGAATCACATTGCTCCCCCAATGGTCGACACACGGATGGTATCCTTTGTTGAAGCCTACCTTATCCACCTTCAGTCGGTACACGGTCAACAGCTGACCGTTAGCGAGGCAATCTCAATTATCAGGCATTACCTGCAGTCAGCTCATCCTTGCTTGCATCACGATGCACACTTCAGACACTTCGCATCTCCGTCGATGCCACTTGTCGCTCCTGTCGAAGTTTCTCCCATGTCTTTTGACGTTGTGGACATGGGTTCAGGAACCAGCGTAGGTATTTCCATGGAAGGACCGGCTGTTTCTGAAACCGACAGCGCTTTTGGGATTTACGACATGAATTCTCTTCGTCGGATCTTCGTAGAAGAAGGCCGTTTCAAGGTGGAATGCTTGTGGCCTAATTGCGGGAGGATAGTGATGAAAGACAATCACCCCCGGCATGTACGGGAGTGTCACCAGCGTGCCACGAGAGGAGCTGTGCGCCCAAATTATGGATTTCACATGCATGGCGGCTGATGCAAGGAGATTTTCTGACGGATTGTATTTCTTTTTAGTTGATAGGACGATGTTTTGCAGAAAGTGGCGTCATATTTATATGTAAAAAGGATGTCGTATAATACTTATCTTAAGATACGAGCTCAGATAAAATAGTACAGTACTTAAGAGATTGAATCTGAGAATAGATTTCAGCGACTTCTTAAAATTTTCGGATCTCCGTCGATGTCGAGCTATTTATCATGTAGCTGTATTTTCATATCAGATTTGCCGTGTCTACTTGCTTGCACAACAGAGTTCCACCTTTCACGAACTGTTTGGAACAAGGGCGGAATACCCCCAGAAGTTCGCTGCTTCCTACAACCTTCCTCCTCAGCTCACAATCTTTTTTATTTATTTTGAAAATCAAGTTTATTGTCCGTTGGGGTTGAGACCCTATGATGGACACAGTCCTATTCGCAGGGGGCTTTAATGACCTCTTGCTGTTGAATAGCCACTGATAAGCGGAGCGCCCTCAGTACTACTATGTACCATTCAAGAGTATTTCGCCGTCATGAGCGGGACCCTAGCTCCACATGCGAATAGAACCGGTGACATGAAATCTAGTCTATCGATATCGAAGTAGCTGTATATCAGCTTGAGGCTTAGCGCTTAGCGCTTAGCCTCCACACAATACAATATTGCAACATATAAATACATAGAGAATATTTGGCCTGTACTAAATTAAAAGATCGATCATGTGATCGACGCGTGAGCGGGGCTCGAAAAGTTGAACCAACTCCATAACTGCACGGCCACGCGTTTTGCCGCATCCCTTCAACACCTGTAGCCTTTCACTCTAAAGTATACTTGTCCCCCCGGAACATGGCATCAATAGGTGCGGTCACCAAACAAATCGCTGCCCTCGAAATCTCCTCGAAGAAGCACCAGCAATCTTCTCGTCCTGGCCATACCAAGCAGCCTTCCCAAACAAATGTTGCCAAACTGCTCACAAAATATGCCGCACCCCATCCTCCTACAGCAAAACCCACTCAACCGTCTGCTCTCCGCAACCAAACGAATACAAACGCTCCAGCTCGAATTAGTAAAGCGGTAACTCCTTCGGAACCCCAGCCCTCACTTGACATCGGCAAGTATGATGGTGGCCTCGAGCTAGACAACGAGAAAAGGGGTGAAAAGGTATTTGGAGAGGCAGCTGAAGCACTTGCTCTCGATTCTAGTGTCTTGGGGTGAGTGAAGATAACGTTAGCGACATCTCATCACCAACATCACCCTCAGAGCCCGTCCCACTCGAGAGTGGAGTCTCCCCTCATTCGAAATCGGTCGCCCTCTCGGAAAGGGAAAATTTGGGCGCGTGTACATGGTCCGCACTAAATGCGAGCCGCAATACATCCTCGCCCTCAAATGCCTGTACAAATCCGAAATCATCCAGTCTCGCGTCGAGAAACAGATTCGACGTGAAATTGAAATTCAACAAAATCTTCGGCACCCCAACGTACTTCGCTTGTACGGTTACTTCCATGACGAGAAACGCATCTTCCTCATGCTCGAGTTCGCTGGCAAGGGCGAGCTATACAAGCAGCTCTCCAAACATGGCAGCTTTTCAGAGAAACGGAGCTCGAGATATATTGACCAGATGGCGGATGCTTTGTCCTATTTGCATGGCAAGCACGTCATTCATAGAGATATCAAACCGGAGAATCTGTTGTTGGGGATCAATGGTGAGCTCAAGATCGGCGACTTTGGATGGAGCGTACACGCACCCGGCAATAGACGCATGACGCTATGCGGGACGCTCGATTATCTACCACCTGAGATGGTCGAGGGAAGGGAACATAACGAGAAGGTAGATTACTGGGCTCTAGGTGTACTAACGTACGAGTTCTTGGTTGGCAATCCTCCATTTGAAGATAGGAGCAGCGTTAACGGTAAGTAGTCGGTTGCACTTACTCTTTCATTTATCTGACGCTTGTATCTCAAGCCACTTACCGTCGAATAGCTAAAGTCGACCTCAGAATTCCATCGCTCGTCTCTCCCGAGGCAAGAGACCTGATAACACAGGTGTGTACACACCGTGACTCAGTGATCTACGGACCCTGATCGCCTTGCAGTTACTCAAATATAATCCTGAAGAGCGTATCCCATTAACTGATGTCTCACGACACCCGTGGATATTGAAATACCGGCCCAAAGGGATATCCAGAGGCGGAACTGATGTATAAATATTCATTGTATTGGTTTGGGCCTTTCGGCACTGGTTTGCCATTGGATGCCGTGTTTTGAACTTGAAATAATATATATACCTGCATGAACATCCATCACTACTTCCTATGGGAAACTGATGACATCGAACTCTATGGTTGACTATGCGTGAATGGATCCGTGCGAAGGGCTTCAAGGGCAAGTAGTAGTACGTGCGAGCCAGCCATTTAATCGTGAAGGACGGTCTTTGCAATTGAGGGTGCAGAGCAACTGAGCAAAATGAAAATAACTGTCGATACGGTTGAGCCCTAGTGTGGTCTGGAGTCGTTACCAGAGCTGTAACCACACGAGCACTGTGTGATGAAGTTGTTTCTGCCATCGGGGATGCCATTCTAGAATCTACCACAAAAGCAAAAGTAGTCACAGGAAGGCTTTCAGAATCGTTAGAGTTACTTTGCGTTCGGCTATACCATAAGTGCAGGCTTCGTAATGATGTTGATGAAGAATAAAAGTCTTTCGTGGTTCCAGGAGCAATTTTAGTTGGCTGGGAGCGTTATAGCTCGTGCGTGTCTCCTGCTTCGCGTATACAACAATATGTGCGGTGCACCTCGACTTGCGGGCGAGTATATATCTGACTATTGATGGGGGCTACTGCAACTTGTACTAGTAGTATTGTATTTGTATTTGGCCTTCTTTTCACTTTATCATTGACAGGATACAGGGAATACATTCTATGATACGTTGGCCATTGAATGAAGTTATGAAGCGGGTGCATCCCTGCTGAAAATCGTGCTGTCCACCGCCACAGTGCCATGATCACTAGTGTCGATTGGCTAGTACAAATGTTTCACCCCATGGTAAGTTAGACTTTACTACAAACCATCTATAGGCTTAGAATCCATGACAAAAAATTGATGGATGGCTTGCACGTGAAATCATCGATCAAATTTTCGCCATGGACAGGAACAGCCATCAATTGTCATTGGATTTGCTCTTGGTAAATTATATTGGTATTAAAAGTCATTTATTCCGCTGTCTACTCGGAACGAACAACAGCGAACAGCGTATCGTCTAGCTAGCGTCCCAATAACAATCACACCTGACCATCCTGTGACTATGAACCGTGAGTACATTATCCAATGCAAACAATGGACGAAACTAACCTTTAATATGTCATGGACGACATGTCTGAGCGAATGCGGTTGTAATCGAGAAGTCCATCGAGCGGGCCGAGAGCTGCAATAGCGATCTACAAAGGAGTGATTAAGTGAATGCGCCCAGCTTCAGTTTAGGAAGAAACTCTTACGTCCTTGTCCCACAGGTATTTCTGTGCAACGCGCTTGATCTCATCCGTGGTCACAGCATCGACTGCAGACTCGATCTGCTGAGGGGTGAGACGGCGACCTGTGGTGACAAGTTGCCTTCCAATGTCCTCGGCAATAGCAGTCGTCCCATCAAGAGAGAGCAACAAACCGGCCTTAAGCTGGCTCTTGGCGCGCTCGACCTCGACATCAGTCGGAGCCATAGACATGCGGCACCATTCCTTCAAAGTGAAATGTGCCATGTCATCAAGGTTCATAAGGTTCTCAGACACGAGGTAAATGCCCCAGAGACCAGTGTCGGAGTAAGACGTGGAGAAGGACATGAATGAGTTAGCAAGGTTGTTCGATGAGATGACGTGGGAAAGACGGGATGAGAGAAGAGGAGAAGCCCCGAGGGAGCGATCCCAGTTGCCCATGATGCTCTGCATTACCTGCATGGGGAAGTAGTCAGGTGAGCTCCAACCAACACCCTCAACGGCAATGGCGACGTGTGCACACGGGATTGCATCATCACGGAGCCGAACGTCTGAACCGACAAAGTTCGAACGAGGATGAGCAAGACGGCCAAGAGGAATCGGGTTCTGCGAGGTGGGAAGCGAGGAGAAATGTTTTTCAGCAAGTTGAACCAGCTCCTGGTGGTCGACACCTCCGGCACCGACGAGAACCATGCGGTCGGCGGTGTAGTTGGTTTTGATGTAAGAATCAAGGTCGTCACGCTTGATGGAAAGAATGTTGGCTTTAGGGCCAAGAATGGTACGACCAAGCGGTTGGTCTACAAGAGATCATGAATGAGTGTAAAGCAAGTATGAGATCGAAGCAAAAGACGCACGTTGGAAAGCAACGGCATGAAGATGGTCGAATACGACCTCTTCGAGCTGCTTGTCGACCTCTTGCTGTTCTCGAAGAATGACATCACGTTCCCTCTCAACAGCTGTAGTCTCCAATTTGGAATTCTGCAGAATATCGGAAATGATATCAACGGCGACCGAAACATCCTTTCGGAAGCTCTTTGCATAGTACACGGTCTGCTCGCGAGAGGTGTACGCATTTAGATGTGCGCCAAGGTTCTCAACCTCGAGTTCCAACGCGTGTTGGTTGCGACGTTTGGTGCCCTTGAAGGCCATATGCTCAAGGAAGTGGGCAGTGCCATTGGTTTTGTCAGTCTCCGCACGGGAACCGGCATCAATCCAGACGCCAATTGTTGCGGTCTGTGCATGAGGATGAGACTCTGTTGCGACAGTTAGGCCATTGGAGAGAGTTGTTGTTTGGGTGATGGGAGATGGAATATTTACAGCTGTCGCAAATGACCGCAAAGGCCGCTGTGGTTGGGGATGAAAATCAAAGAGTGACGACATAGAAAGGCCTGAAAACTTACAGGATTGCGTGCTGAAGTCCTGAGTGAACGGGCTAGCGACGCCGACAGTGCTCTGGAGACCATACCGAAGAGGACAGAGTAAACGAAAGGCTGCGCTTACCAAAATATTCACCTCTTCGGGAGTTCTCGGTTTCGCGGCTTATCCCGACACATTTAAACTTCCGCTTTCAATGACACTTTATTGGGAATTCTCATGTACCCGATAGAATTGTGCGATAGATTTTATTTTCTAATTTCATTCTACCGTCGACAGAGAGGAAAAGGAGGCAATTGCAAGAAAGGAGAGATAACGAGCTCAAATCATGCTATACGGTAGGTCGTCGGACCAAGTGCTAGTGTATCGCGTTGACGGACATCAATTTTCCCATACCTGTACCCTATATATGTATTCGATGAGTTGGCATGATCTTCAGGATTCTGCATTTTTAAAGACCTCACTCGCAAAGATTGAGACCTGGCGAGCGTGCTGAGCTGTCAACCAACGCGTTGGACGTGCACAATTCATATTTCTTTTTGTGACATTCTTGTAGCCTCGGACGGACTCACTCTTTCAGCTGACTCTTGCTATCCTACTACTATCCCAGTCAGGTCACCACTGTGCACTTCCTAAACATTCCGACCATATCTCCCGTTCAGTATTTGGCGCAGAAACATGTCCTACACCTTACAATCATGCGATCAGGCCACTTCTCTTTGGCTCGTCAATGATTTGCCTTCAGAGATCCTTTCACACCTCAAACTCAGTGGCTGCCCTGACACTGCTATCGATTCTTCCTTCAAGCTAGGGAAAGCAGCCCAGGTTAGCAAACCTCTCTCAAATGCCCGGATGTCGATCGATATGAGCAAGCCCCCTTGAGACATCTATCGGCCTATCAGGCCTAGCAGCTGCATATGTCCTTTCTCTGAGGACCGGAAGTATGCAAGACGTCAGTGTCGACGCACGTCACGCTATTCTAGACATCTCTAGGTTACTCTTCCCTCTATCTTTGATCTCATCTTACTAAAACCAAGCAGTGAATCTTGGTACACCGTGGATGGCCAGGTGCCTATTACGTCTGCGCGGGATTATCTGGCAGGAATATACAGAACCAAGGACAGTTTTGTTCGTCTGCATACCAACTTCCCGCAGTAAGCTTGCATCATTTTTAGCCAGGTGTTTGGTAGCTAACGATCACCAAAGTCACCGACAGGGCATCCTCAATATTTTGCAGTGTGAACCCACTCGTGAAGCCGTTCAAGCCGCGCTATTGCAATGGAATGCGAAAGACTTCGAAGATGAAGCAGTAAAGCAGAAAATGTGTGTTAGTGCCTATAGGTCATTCGAGGAGTGGGACAAGCATCCCCAAGCAGCTGCATTAAGAGGAACGCCTCCAATCCAGCTTATCAAGATCGGAGAAGCTCCTAAACGGGACATCAAGGAGTCTCCGCAGTTCCCTCTCGAGGGAATTAGAGTGTTAGACCTGTGCCGGGTACTTTCAGGACCGGTGTGCGGCCGAACGCTTGCAGGCATGTGGCAATATTCCTCTCTCGAAGTGATCCGGGTCGCATTATTGATCTACAAATTCGACAGCGTATGGCGCTGACGTGCTCCTCGTCACCTCCCCAAAGCTTCCTGATTTGCCCGCGTTTGATGTCGATACATCTCGTGGCAAGCGCACAACGCAGCTCGATCTCACCCAAGCCCCACAAAATGACTGCCTGAAAGAATTAATCAAGGATGCTGATGTATTCCTGCAAGCATACCGACCAGGTGGCCTTCAGGAAAAAGGGTTTGGACCCCAGGAACTTGCCAAGATTCGGCCTGGTATTGTATGCGCCAATCTGACAGCGTACGGTTGGGAGGGTCCCTGGAAACACAAGCGTGGCGTAATATCTTTTTAACTTTTATCACTATACTTTCTGACAATGAGATGTCTAGTTCGACTCGCTCGTACAGACTGCTACGGGCTTTAATTGGGCAGAGGCTGAAGCTTTTGCTAAATTCAATGGGCTGCCCGTCGTGGATAAGCCAGAACCTCGTGCACTCCCTGTGCAAGCCTTGGATCATGTTGCAGGGTACTTCCTCGCTTTTGGAATTCAAGCTGCAATCGCAAAAACGATCACTGTGAGTCCTCAGGCCCCAGCGACGTTCATTGTCGTAGTCAATTTCTTAAAAAAAACTCTTATTGAACAGGAGGGCGGCTCCTGGGAAGTCCGTGTCTCTTTAGCAGCAGTTGCGCAATGGCTCCGATCACTTGGGCAACTTTCGCCAGATACCGCGTTCGGAGATGGGAAACCTCTACCAAAGCGATTGAACCCACCAAACCTAGAGGTAGTAGCACTATCTGTCACACTCCACGAGGCGACAGGTGACAAAAGGGACGTTGAAGGGCCTCTCAGGACGATGACAGCTATTCGCCATGCAGCACAGCTATCCGTTACGCCTGTCAAAGATGTGGAAGCTCCAATGGGCTTGAATCGGCATCAACCTGTGTGGCTGCCGTATGTGTGAGGATGCTAAATGCGAGGAACGTCGTTCAATTAATTGCTGACGAATTTCCGTCATTGGAGTTTTTGTAGTACAATATCACAAAACCCATCAATACTCGTAATTAAAGTCAATCCACTCTGGTATACCGGCAAATACTTCCTCTAGCGTGAAGGATGATGCCTGGTCGGAAGTCAGGATATGGTCTTGCGCTACACGTGCTGACATATCCCCTCCAGGACCTGCGAGGAGCGTAAGGATCTGACGCCTGCAGCATGAGTGCATGAGGCTTACCAGACGAATTGAACTCTGCGTAATAAGTGGTGTCTGGAATGCTTGCTCTGCCATAGAGAATCAGTGATCGGTGTCATCCCCCAACAACAGTGCTTACTTTCCAGACCAAGAAGTGAAACCTGCAGGTCGAATACTCTCGTCCATGTAGGTGTTCATGTACACAGCAACGGCCATCGCATTCCATGGGCGTCCTAGAGGCGATCCAAGCTTAACTTTACAACTAAAACATGTATTACATTTCTTAGCTTACCGAGGGAGCAGCCGGCATCAGTCGGAGTGGTAGCATTGGCATCCGGGGACTGGGTTTAAAACGAAAATAGTCATTAAAAACATGAGCACCAGACCAGAAAACTGACCCGAATTATTTTGGAATCGGCGATGTATGCCCCATTCCTGGTGCCAGTCGCACCTTGCCAGGCTGTGATACCACCACCACAAGCTCGGTTGGCCAAAATCACGCTTTGGAACCAGCTATTCCAAAGGTTACTCAGGGTGTTTATACATGGATTAATACACACTTACGCCATGCCAAATCCGAAAAGGTCTTGCCATAACATCAGCAGCTGCAACCCGACTTTTCCAAGACAACATGACTTACAATCAGTTTGACCATATATTATACTGTCAACGACATATGTGTGCGCGTTGCTACCGGTGTACCACGTATCTTGCCAGCTGGCAAAGGTGCAGCCATAGAAGGAAGCATTTGCATAGCTGATGGCGGTGACGAGGGCTTGAGAAATCGAGTAGTTGGCCTGAATTAAGTGAGATTGTACAGATGTACAAGTACAGGAGATAAATAAACGCTTACAGAACGATTTTCGAAGTCGATATTATACGCTCTAAAGTCAGTGTTACCGAAATTCTCTCCTGAGGCAGGTGAAATAGTGAAAGTCGCGGTCTGCACATCGTTCAGCCCATCTTTGACATATATATTGTTCCAAATGTGAACAAGGTTGCGCTGAGAAGCATTCCCCGCTGTATCGTAAGCAGTGGAAGGATCAAGTTGACCCTACACAAAAAATATCTCAGCAATTGAACTTTACGCCTGAGAAAGTGATGATTACCAGAAGAGTGAGCGGTGCGGATCGCGCAACATTGACCATTTCAAAGTATTCTCCTGCTCCAATCAGAATTACAGCGTCGCCCGTCTGTGGCCTGGGGGAATATCAGGACAGAAGACAAAAAAATCGCGACAGTTACCCACAGAGACTCTATAGCAGCTTGAACACTTTGAAAATTTGCCCTGCTATCTGTGGGCGACACATACAGGGTTCCTGCTGGACACCCAGTTAACGGAGAGGTTTCTGCATCCTTTTGCAATTGGCACGCGAGATAGTTAGGGGAGAGTGCCTGGATTTGCACAACTAAGCCAGCTAGAAGTGCAACAAGGAATGTAAGGCGCGTCAAATATGGTCCCATCAGTGCGTCGCCTGCGAGGGGGGATATGGGACCTGGGTTCAAAAGTTAATATGCCTACCATCGCCCTTCGCGCTTATATACTGTAGAGTCTCATCGCGAGAATCCCACATACATTTCCAGGCTAGCAACGTAGCGTCGTTTAGGGATGCAAAAGAACCGGAAGGGTAGCAATCACGACGCTAAAAAGAGGTAGATACTAGACGCCATATCCGAGGTGATACCAGTCGTAACCAAGTCGCAACCGTAGTACAGGGACTCAGTGTGGGAGAGCATCCAAGTCGGTCTGACCACTGGGCTCATCACCGTTGAAAGAATCGGCAATGGGTTAGTCTTCCTGGGCCCGATCATGACTAGGGCATGGTCCAACGCGTTGCCGTGGCACGTAACGGCTGAAGTCATGACCCATGATGCCAATCGAATCACCGTCATATAATATATTTACTCAAATCAGACCAGACCGGACCTGGGCCATGGCAATGCTGGACTGAAGCGGGTGATACTAGTACCAGACTATTCACATTGTGATCGAATCGAGGAGAGGTGCAAATATCACGGCCACGTACGATGTGTCTAGTTCAGAAACCCCCTCATTCATGAGCAAAATTTGGAATGAGCTGAAGTGAGGATAAAATATTGTTGTCTGTCTCCGCATCAGTACTAGAGATTGATTACAATTAGTAGGAACTTTGGTTGGTGGATAACCCGGTGGGCGACTTATAAGCGCTAGCGACCACACAATATATTCTATTGACGTTTCCGTTCCAAACCCCTGACTACACATATTAGCATATTTATTCTTCAGTTTACTCGATGTCACAACTATCGATATTCTTACCAGCGGTCATCGTACCTTACCGGTCTTACTACCCGTTCGTTCTTGCTACCGTATTGTCTTGACCCTGTTATAAACCTGAGTATTTACCCGATTATCCAATTTTTTATACCGTCATTCTAAGTCCGAACGTACGCACTCTTCTCGTGTTCCGTTGTCTTCGAGCTCAACCCCACGGCCACAATGAATAGAGCAGAAGAGCGATTGACGAAAAACACTGTCACACTCACAAATCTACATAAACGAATCGGACTCGACTCCCCTTTGGGTGGTTCAGGGTCAAGCGCCTGATCACCTGCCGTGGCTGCCGATGTCGGACATTAAATTTGGCGTTTCTTTGCAGCCGCAGTCTGTGAGCGTTTGAACACTGAGCGCTCTGAGCAACAGACCAAGTGCTGAGCTGGACCCATGGGGCATCGCCGAGGCAAGCTGGTGGCATCTACCGAACTCAACTATAAGTCCAGGATCCAGGATGCACCCGTAGATGTCACAAATGGCACCTGCAAGAAAGAACATTTCAGTAGCTGCGAGAGTACACAAGGTATGATTATGTATTTTTAGGTTCCTGTAACACTAATTTCATTGTGCAGGTCGCGGAGCAGAGTCTTAAAGACCATAGCAGGGGTATGTATGTGCCTCGCAGGCTTTTTTCCAAATCACAGCCGCTCTTCTACCGTCTGAAGAGAAAGTGTCAAGGATTGGCCAGCTCATAAATTCGGGCTCTCGCGCATTAAGAAAGACATCAAAACGAAGGTATTTGACGGCTCGCTATCATTATACAGGCGCAAGGACGACCTCATCACTACCGCCGGCGCTCTTTCGCTACCCAGAGATGGGACCCCGGACAATGATTGAACTGACTGCATGAATTAAAGAACATCTTGCAGGATATCCTGATTGTGTCAGTCAGCAAAGGTTCGCGGGACTTCTTGGCCCTTGGGGGCAAACGAACGATTGCCACCACAACGTCAAAAGCTTCAACTTCGAACCAACCGCAGAATTTGCCACCAGAACTTCCTGCAACATCCAGCCTGGACACGCGCTACCACCATATACATCCGTCATCTCACACTGGTTTCAGTATTCCTGACTACATCCACCATACTTTTTTTGCTCAACTCGTCACCCGGCAAGTCAAGGGCTTCACAATCCATCTATGTGTGAATACCCACTAGTACATCCACATACGTTCCCTCAGCAATATTTTACACATCATTAATCATTAGCGCTTTAGCATTTAGCTCTATATAATTCTCCGTACACACTGTAGCTCACAGATGTACTATTAGCATCTAATCAATTACTGTTGAAGTCACTGTCTGCCGAACGGACTGCGGCGTGTGACTGTCCGTTACTATTCGTGACACAGGCGTGACTCATGGTTGGACCGTCACGCGTCACATTTGCCCTTGGATTCATCCTTCACAAAAGCTTTCTTATCATGTTATCGATTACTGACATCCATTATGATGCATGATGTCGCAGAAATTTGAAACTCTGTTTGCTTTGCCCCAACTCAGTTCCTAACCTCATGCATATTATGACATCTTTACCAAGCAAGTGCCCCTACAATCACATAAAGCGCAAACACTAGCACCTATAGTGGCAGATTAGTCCACATCACTGACACCTGCAGTGTCACACTTATGACGGTACCTGACATAACGCAGCCCTCAAGTCAGAAGGTATCAATGTCATAGCTTGTGGCTATCTTTTGGTAGCACTCCCAAGAGCACGACAAGTACAAGGTTGAAACTAGCCGTAGAAGATGAGCACCACAATGACATATCAGGCCCTTCCCCTCATAAAGGTATCTGTACGCAGGCTGTGTCAAGGGGTTTCAAGTGCATCTTCCCGACAAAGTTAGGCTCAATTTCTCAAGTTACACCTTTCTGCACATGAACCTGTCAATCGCCAGAGTCTTTGATCCATGAATGAGAAGCAGAGCTTCAAGAGAATGGATCCAGTATGCATGGACTTGTCAGATATTCCATAACCTTGAGGCCAGAAATGTTGGTGGACCAACAAGGCAGCAGGCAAGTTGTACCTTGGCATGTTACACAGCCTGCTTCCGTCATAATCACTGGCTCACTGCCTTCTGTTATTTTTTTACTTCATTTCTGTCACAGATATCATCAAATCAAACGTGTTTTCCATCACTGTAGATTCGGACAGAGTCAGTTGAGGAACTGCCAACTGCATCTGAGCACCAATGCAAATCTGGGCAACATCGTAATGCAGCGTGTCCTACAATCAGTCGCTGCAGTTGTGATTGTGGCTGTAGCCTCGTTCACTGTTGCAATTTATAGGTTGACTTGACTCACCCATAAGTATCTAGGTTTGGTCTAGTGTCCCCTAAGCAAACCTTGGACTAATGGAGATAGTCGCTTTTTTCCTACCAAGGGTTTTGTGATAGGTACAATGCCCATGTCTTGTTTTTCATTGGCTCATGGCTTATGGACATCAAAGTACTCCGAGTCGTAGAAAGGCCTCGTTGAAGCTTTCTTGTCCCTAACTTCTATTCTTGAACTTTGACACAAATCCCCAGATGCATTGATGTAGGGTGTACCCCATCAATCCGTTGTTCCTGCCGTGGGTGGTATCAAATAATGCATGGTCAAGATACCTTGCTCTGCCGTGCCTAGTTCTGAACTTTAGGGCAGACAAAGTTTTATTCAAGCCTTCACTTGACAGAATTTGAATTTGGGAGACTTGCCATGGACTTCCCTGCAATCATGTAAACCCTTGTAAAGTACAGACACCTCGCAGGCTGTGTAGCATCGCTCGCATTTTGAGCACAGCTGTCATTTGATCATCAATGCATCAAGCATCAAGTATCGTGCTTCATTGATGCTTGGTATCTTGGCAAAGTCTACATTGCAGTAATGTCTGATATCCATATCTTGGGGACATCACCAGTATACAAGTATGTACATATTTATGAGCAGCGAGGTTTCACTGATCTGACTCCCCCGCATACCTTTTTCTTTTCTTTAGGATCAGCGGCACCATTTGCCCTTCTGTTCATAGCACAACTATTGGGTCTAAGAGGTACTTTGACCATGTCGCTCCCACTGAACACCAAAATCATCAGTGAGGTGCTGGAAGCGTAAGAGCCATGTCTCATGCTATGTCCCTCAGTTTCCTCACCACTCCTACCAGTTCTCAAACTGTTGTGGGTTATTAAATACACATACAATGATTTAGGCTGAGGAGACAGGCTGTTGGTGTCCTTGGCTTCACAATTCTGGTGTGAGATCATGCAATCACTTTTGCAGACAAGGTCTGTCTTTATTATTTATCTGGCCCATTGGCTAACCTACCACAGGTGGAGATGATATGGGGTTGTCTGAAGAACCTCTGTGAGCTCGCCCATAGATTATTTTCTTGGTGGTGACATCAATTTTCAGTGACATTCTTATTCTTGCTCATACGTTGGTGGGCTGATAATGATGTTTCCTGCCTTAATTTGATGTAGAATTGGTACCTCACACCTATCGGTTTCATCATGAACCTTGTTGGTAAGTTCTAGATACCTGTTGTGCTGATGAGTGACACTTTAATTATCATGAAGCATATAGCCTGCCTTCTTGGTTGTTCATAGTTAGTATACTTTCTGTTTTTTTTATAAAGATAACCTAACAAGCAATGCAGAAGTAAGACATCTAATTCTCAACTTCAGTGTGTTGTGACAGGTGCATAAATGTGAGCATTGTGTTTGGTATGAGGGGGCCATGACTGCAGTTGGGATTCAAGTTGTGGGACTAATGATGTTCCTGCGGTGAGCTCTCAATCGAAATGTACTAGTTATCACCATGCACAATCCCTAAATCCTATCCATCAGTGTTCGAGCTATGTACCATGACAACAGATGTGTTGTGATCCTTGTAGCATCGTTATTGTTTGTTTGGGTTGCAGTTGGCGCTTGGCTGTTGTCTCACGGTGTAGGTGAGTACCAAAGTCGTTTGACGTGCGATTTGGGTCCACCTAATCTGTTGATCAGCTGTCCCTCACTCCTCTTTTATACATTGTGAACCCATCTATCTAGATGCTTGTTATCTCATCTACTCATGGTTTTCACACAGCTTGTTGCATGGAATTCTCTAATGTGTATGTTATCCATGCTTTAGTTCAGTTAGTGGAGTACTGAAAGTGAACTCAGAAAGGGTCTTGCATCTGCATGGGCATGGGTCCCTCTCCTCTATGACACAGTCGTCTTTGCCTTAACTTTGAACTGAACATTGCCCTTGATGAAAAATAAGGAGGCAGGGCATATCATCCACACACTGTTTGCAGATGGAGTTTTATTTTACAGGTACACTCCTGGATCAAACAATTGCACACTTTTATATGATTTAATTTAACAGTGTAATGTGTACCATAAACCCTATCTTTATCATCATGGTTGTGAGGGCTCCAGAAGGCTTGAAGAACATTACTGGACAGTACATTTTCTATGTGTTGAGTGGCATAGCTACCTGACATGCTCTAAAACTGAAATTCTTTTCAGACTTGAACTTATGTGAGTATGGTCAATTGGTAATCCAGGAGCTGATTTTCCAACATCGATGGATAAATATTGCAGATTAACGGTGAGTCCAATTTATGCAGATCATGAATTTCCTGCTTCATCTTATTCTCGACCACGTTCCTTTACAAGGTCGTAATGATGTCATGCATCACACTCAGCTTAAAGAAGGAGGGCACACGTGATTCTGTACCACTCGACACACATTTTGGAAGCAAATTCCCACTCTGCTTTGATTGCCAAAGGCCTGTCAAAGATATCATGAACCCGCAACCACCAGCTCCTAGCTCCCAGACTTCTCCAATGACAACAGAATTGTTCGAAATGCAAAGTCATGCAGGAGCTTTCGACGGTGATATATTCTCTCAAGGACAGCAAGATGGTGATGTTCACATCTGCTTCGCCTTCCCTGCAGTGACTAATGCATTTGACCTTGTGAACAATGAACGCAGCAGGTGCCAGGAGGCAATGGTTTGAATAAGACCATCGTACAGACTGCTGTATGACATAGACATGCAAAGTATGTTATTCAAGTGGACAATAATACATTCATTAACCTCAGGTGTTCAAACAGACACTAGATGTTGTACTACCACCAACACTTTACAGTTAATTAGCAAATAATACGATCGAGATTCTTGAATTCTCCTTTGTTTGACAGCAAGTTATCATTTACAGTATACACAGTACTCATACCATTACATCACTAGTAATCTGAGTAGTATCCAAGGAGAGTAATTAGTATTATTCATGCACAGCCACCAGTGCCACCCATGCATTGTGATTATCACCATGATGCATTGTAGCACTCGAGCTCGTGCTGAGCATGTATTCAGCTATTTTCCCATGCATGTCAAACTCATGAATCACTTCCAATGTTATCCGACACTCATCTGCTCAATCCGATGTTTATCCACTAAACCCAACGCTAACCTGCTAAACCCAACGCTAATCCGACAGACCCGATGTTTCCCGCGCATCGGACCCGATATTTTCCCGCACACTTGCCCTCCCTATGTCTTGTCCTGTCGTATCTATCCCCACTAGGTGCACAGTTATTCATTTTCACGTCGCTAACATTGTAGAACGCGTTATTACATGTCCGCAGTACAGCATGTCTTATGACATAGGACATCGGACCCGAAAATCAGCACTACCACTTTCGCCTATAGCACTCCGAAATTCTACATAGACACTATAAATTTCACATACCTCCTACCTATTTACTTTACCTTTCTACCTCCAAGTAGGAGGAGGTCATCCGATATTCGTAGTTCTTAGTTGGATTCCGCAATATCATCCATTCTTTATCCGAAACATCTGACAGTAACCCGCCATTCGCTATCCCTGACATTCGCTATATTCCTGATGCAAGCCCGATGCTAACCCAACGCAACCCGAGGAAAACCCGCTAACCCAAAACCCGAAAAGATTGGACCCAATGTTTTTGACATTGGACTCATAATTATACCTTCGGACTTTGTTTCCCACGCTTCGGACTATCTTCCTTTTGATATAACTGATTATTCTAAAACCATACAGCAAACCCCTCGGGTCGAACGCACTTGTCTTGCAAGTATAGCAGACTAGGCTGTGCATGACCACAACATTCTTATATTGCTGGCTACTTACTTCATGTAGTGCCCAGCAATTGTTGTATCTCTACAGCGTCAATCGACTCAAGTCGTTCCCCTTCGCAAATGTTTGCGACGAGTTCTCAATGTCGTTTTACCCAGCTTGATGAACCATTATGTCCCCCTTAAATTGGAACTGGGATCTCGAATGTATTGCACTTGTATGACTCAGCCGCACATTCAGCGCACGGCAAGTCTCTGGCACTTAGTAAGGACTTGTAATATGTGTCTTTCTCTTTGGAGAAGCTCATGACCTCCGCAGACGCTTATCTTAGAAGTAGATTACCCCTTGACGCAAAGTCTCTATCATGGGGTCAGACATCCATATAAGACACCAGTGGCCAATCAGAGATCGCAACTGCAGGGTCTCACGGACCCATCTCATCTTGTCTGTTACACTTTTTGTCAAGAATGGATGCTGTGACCATGCAATCTGTGACCCTAGATTCACTCCATGCGTAAGTGCCTATGTTGTTGTTTTGTATCGCATGCCTTGATGAATTATCTCTCGGCGTTACTATTGCTAGTCAACAGGCGGTCACTGTACATCTTATTCAGATCAATCACCCTCTCGCCATCTGATGTGTTATTGTATCTCAAGTTTGTGGCTATTGCGAGTTTCACAATTCTGTGCTGGGATCATATGATCACCTTTGTGGATGAGGTACGTTTCATGACTATTTTATATCAAAAACAGGTCTGAAGTATTTTCCAGGTAGACTTGATCTGGTGTAAACACAAAGGACTTGGTAAGTATAGGCTACCCTCTGATATATTTATCCACATAATTCACTCCAAATTCATTCTAGCTGGGTACCTCTTTCTGCTGGTATGTGAAACCACATTTGACTCATTCCTGGAATTACATTTTCTTTCAAAACCAAGAATCAATATATCACACCTCTGGGATTTGTTGTCAAAATTATTGGTGAGGTCTGTCCTTTCGTCGTAGATTATATTTTATTGAAATTTATAGTCAGTGCTGACCCTCCCCAATTGGCCCACAGAGGTAGGTGACTGCTTTGTCCATCAAGTGTCTCCAAATCTAATTGTTTATATTATCTTAGAGGTTTGTGGCTTCCGATCTAAAGATGACTGGCATCAAACTGCTGTTAAGTTGCAGAAATTTCGTCAGATATCAAGGTGCCATGGTGATCCTTGGTGTCAGTATAGCAGAATTGATAATGCTGATGTGGTGAGTTCAGTTCAAGTGCGATGATAAGGTACCTCTTACGATTTTTGTAGGGTCCATGCTTTGTATTGGGAATGCAGGCTTGTCATTGCGGCCATAGGCCTTCTCTTATTAGTCCAGGTTGCATTTGAGGCATATTTGATGGCTCTTGGCAAAAGTGAGCACACCTTTTACTTGTGCAGATAACAGTGATATCATATGTTTCTAGTGGTTCCTCATGCTTAACAAATACATTGCAAGTACTGTTACCCGATGTGGTGGCTTGTTACTGACTTCTCTATTAGCCTGTCATGAGGTTTATGATTTGCCGCTGTATGAAGTCACTGTTCTCTTAGTTTTAAAAAAAAATACTCACCATACAGCAATGTCAGGGCTCTCTCTGTTACTCAGGCATGGTTGCCTTTGGCATATGACACTGCCATTTTTGTCATGACCCTATGGCGCACCTTGCCCAAGCATCGGAGTGGAATTAGTCCTATTGATCCTATGTTGCCAACATTCCAATCCAATGGTGCATTGTACTACATGTGGGTGCTTTTCTCAATTCAAGCCAACTGCCTAATCTGTTGATCGACTAGTATCATCTGTTCTGCTAACCTAGTACTGACTGTGATGATAATACAAGTGCCCCCAGGCCTGAAGGGCATTGCTGCTCAGTAAGTCTATCAGCACTGTCTGTGACTAGTACATGTTAAGACCGTGCACAAAGGGCAGGACTGATTCCGAAGGGCTTGGCTTCAGCTCGTGCACTGTGCCCCTTACCCGAGTATGTGCCCTTAATTCATCAGGAAACCGGCGAGAAGAAGGTTTTCATAGATACTATTGACAGAATCAGATCAAAAATACACGAAATATTTATATTTATATTCTAAGACAAAGTGATACATAAGTAGGAGCAACATGACTTTGAATGAGAAGGAATTACAAGAAGACTATAAGTCTGAGGCTCGTATGTAAGATGCCACAAGTGTGACCTATGATAGATAAATGTCGATAGACCATTGCTAGAGTGTGACTTTGTGATACTTGAAGATACTTGTTTGCAATAGAATTGCAATGCTATGTAATATTAATGCTTACTAAGGTGTGTACATCATGGGAGCTGGGGGTTTGAAATTTTTTTGTGAAGTCCTTGTGAGCTCTGCCTGCCTCTACTCTTTCTGTTCCGTTGAAGGTTCAATGATACAGCGAGGCACGAACAATGCTCCTGGTTGTATCTATAAATGTTGTAAGGTCGCGCGTTGCCTAGTCTGCTATACTTGAGACAACAAGTGCGTTCGACCCTAAAGGGGAAGCGAGTGCAGCAAGGATCTAGAGGTATGCGCTGAAAGCGCTACTGGTTGGCCAATGCGAAGCGCGAGAAAGCGCAGGTGCGCGCAAGGCGCGGGAATGCGCGCGTGTATGGCGCGAAGCGCGGGAAAGCGTGCGCGTGTATACAGATATGAGAGAGAGTAAGAGTGAGTTTGCTTAAGTGATGATATGATGTAAGACAAGAGAAGAGAGATGCGAGGTGTAAACAAATAGATTTCTACTATGTTCTGCTAGGTGAATAGTGGGTAGTAACCAGTAAGTCCTCTGTCGTTCTGGTGGGAGAGTAAGTTAGTAAGTAAGTATGTACTGCTGGCGCTTAAGTATGGCGCCTAAGCGCTGTCATGCGGAGCCGAAGCGCTACTGAGTAAGGTATGTAAAGATATATGTAAGTAAGGGTCCATAAAAATAAAGATGGAACAATATGCAAATGTGAGAAATGGAAATATACGCACTAGGGAACTTGGTGGACAGTGGATGGATGCTTCCGGATGGCTGGCGCTATAGGGTGCTACAGCGCGGGAAAGCGCGCGCGCATATACATCGTGAAGCGCGGGAAAGGTACGCGCGCATGGCGCGCATTGCGCGGGAAAGCTGTGCCTCATATAGAGATAGCTGCAGGTAGCACACAGAGTGATGCTACAAGTTCGTGCCATGTACTCCCCAGTGAAAACTGCCATATTGCACAATGAGAGGCATGAGTCTCTACACCGTTCTTCATGTGCTCCCTCTCCTTGGTGAACCCTCCTCCCTGGCCTTCTTTAATGGACCCTTCTACCTGGCTCCTTCGTACACCCTCCTCCCTGGCCTTCTTTAGGACCCTCCTCCTTGGCCTTCTTTGGTGGACCCTCTCTGGCCGTTGGTGGACTCTTCTCTGGCCGTTGATGGACCCTCCTCCCTGGCCTCCTTCATGGACCTCTCCTCCCTGGCTCTTTGGTGATCCCCTCCAACTATTACTTTGTTTCTTGTTTCATAGTCTACTGTATACTACTATGTAGCACATTTGTACATTTGTCAATAAAATTGGTTTTTGAAAATAAATTATCACAATCATCTACAGTATTCAGCACCTTTGAGTCTTTGATGAGTTTGTCCTAAGCACTCTAGGCTTGTAAAGTTTTATGGATATCTGTCAAACTTGATAGGTAATTGCAAACTGACTGTCAAGATTGTACCGTTGGTAGTTTCTATCCAACTTAGTCCAGGTATTTAAAGCTTTCTCATTTGGATTACAATTGTGATAGATATTATATGTATTTTAGAGTAGACAAAGCTTTACATGATTTTATCATTTTCAAGTCGGTCACCTGATGTTGCAGATGACATCTGGAGGAAGTCCATAGGACTTCTGAAGGAGCGTGGTGTAAGACCTATGGTCTTTGTGGCCTCGTATAGGCCTTTTTGTGTTGTCCCTCTGGTTCTAATTGCAGTATGTGCTATCCTTGGTATAGTGCGCATGTCTTGCATCGTCGGCTGACGGCCGCGGCTCACGCGCGCACTTCGGTGTAGGACTTGGAGTCCTTGTAGCCTCATAGAGGCTATTTTTGTGGTATCCCTCAGCACCCTATTACTTGCCTACATGAAGCGCAGCTCTCCCACGAGTCGTGCATAGCGGCCGCTACTTTCCCACGACAGCCGCAACATTCCCGTGCGCATGCACAGCCGCGCTTAGTGGCCGCTTTTCTTGCGCTTCATCAGCCGACGTTCCGCACCCATCCATAGTCCAAAACCAACCCAATGGTACGTTGTTTCATAATTATATTTACATATCAAACCATTTTCGCATTGGACCACCTTTATTACATATAGCTTTACATACATAGCTCGGTAGCGCATCAGCTCGGTTCCATGTGACAGTGCTTAGCGCAATACTTAAGCACTAGCAGTACATATCATTCAGTAGCTTGTTTTCCGGATGTTCCAGTAGCAAACTCCCATTAGCCTACAGTTGGTAGCTATTGGCAATCAGTATCCATTTACCACTTGCATCGTATCAGTTATTGCCTCGCTCTACGTCTATTCCTATTGTCCTTCATCTCTATTATCATCCAAACCCTTTGCGCATCGGCTGCTTCACAGCCGTGTCTTTCCCATGCCTTCCGCTTTCAGCTGACCACTACGTTCCCGTGCTTATGCGCACGCACCTGCCGCTTTCCCGCACTTCGCATTGGCCGATGAGTGGCACCTTTTGCATCCATTTCTAGACCTTTGCTGCACTAGCTTCCCCTTTAGGGTCGAATGCACTTGTTCCGCAAGTATAGCAGATAGGCAGTGCATGACCTACAACATAAAGATATCAGTTTGGAGCCTATAGCACCACTCTGAGTTGTAAACCTACATTGGTTTGCATCCACTTTTCGTCAGTTCCGTCGTGCGTCATTCCTCCGTCCTATCCATGTCCTCCACTTGTCCATTGGTGCGTATTTTATCTCATTCGTGTTAGACTGATTATATTTCCGAAGGTGATATCGTGTATGTTTTGTTACTTGCGTTATGGACCCTTGATACGTATTACCATTATCTTCTCGGCTCCGAACAGCACTACGCGCGCTATCATATATACTTTAGACTTAGGAATTTTCATGTATCTTCTTTTCCCGTTATCAAAAATTATCATCTGTTTGCATGCAACACTCAGACTCTAAGTCTAAAAACCTTCGGCCGACCACATCGCGCGCTGTATTAACGGTCGCGCTAACATTCACGCTGAAGGTACAACAATTCAGATGGTGAGTCTGAACAATGTTGGGTCTTGCAGAACCTAGCTGCTATTCGACCCTAAAGGGTTTCTGGACCAGGCTCAAGGCTCAGAGAAGAGGAAATATGATAGAAACTTGCTGAATACTCAGACTCATAGTAGAACTGGTGAAAAGGTAACTTGATTATGTAAGCTACAAAGTGCCAACATAAGGTAAGGTAAAGACAGTCTCTCCAAGCCTAGCCAGAAATGAATCCCTACATCGCATCAAGCACAATGTTGCACACTCTTCCATTCTCAGTTACTCTTACCAGTTTCTAAAGTTTCCCCCTCCATATTTTACTTAGAGGAATCATTCTCAGTAGCAATCCCCTTGGGCCAAATCTATACTCGCGTCCAGAGGTCTATTTGAGTTTTACCCCACTTCACCCTTTCTCCCCCTTTCACCCCTTCTCATCTAGCTATCATTCCTCACACACACCGCATGCTTTCGCGTTTCATCACATCGCGGCCACTCATGCTCGCATTGCATTGCATCTTATTGGCGCTTCGTCTACGCGTATATCACATCGCATTTTTGGCAGCTCGCTCGCGCTCGCATCGTGTCGGCTTCGGCTTTCGCATTTCCTTTTAGTCTCAGTCACCCTTATTAGTTTCTACGTTTCCCCTCACACTTTTACTTAGAGGAATCATTCTCAGTAGCAATCCCCTCAGGCCAAATCTATACTCGCGTCCAGAGGTCTATTTGAGTTTTTACCCCACTTCCCCCTTTCTTCCCATTACACCCCTTCTCATCTAGCTATTGTTCCTTGCACACAGCGGGAAAGTCCAGATCCGGATGAGTGCGAGAACTTCCGGAGGGGTGCGGGAAAGTTCCGAAGGGACTTCCAGAAATTACTATGAGGTTTCATCCTAGTACAGATATGTGTAATGGCTACTCAGGATGAATCCTGAGTAGAATGGAGACAGAGGAAAGGCTGCAGGGACAAAGTCCGAAGCAGAATAGGTCCGGAGGACTGCAGGAAGGATCCGGAGGAACTTCCGGAAACTCAGAGGAATGGAGGATTGGATGAGTGGGTGAGCAGAGGATTGGGGGAGCAGAGGAGCGGAGCTCCAGCCTAGGGAATTCCTCCCTAGGCCTAAGGTGGATATTCAGAAGGAAAGAACTAGTATGAGGACTTAGAGTGAGATCTAGTGTGAGGACTAATATGATATTCAGACTAAGGAAGTACAGGAGTTTCTACAGGAGTTTCTATACTAGAGGCAAGTCTGTGCAGATCAGTAAGCAGAGAGGTAAGGCTATGTACAAGCATGTGGAAATGTATTAGTAAGTGAAACAGATCATAAGGAAATGAACTCGGAGATGAAACTCATACAGAATACATTATCAAGACGGAAGCAGAGATAACCGAGAGCTGGAAACACAGGTATATCCTAAATGGGGTAATGCACAGGTGCATGGGAATAGTTTCGGATATGACCACAGACAAGATCCGAAGGTCCAAAAGCCAGGGGTTCGGATAGGACATGGATGAGGATCGCCAGATGAGGATCGGATGGAGTATGGATTGGATGTGTGAACTGGATCAGGTGGGGATCATATGGATATGTCCGGATATATGAGGATTTGGACAAGATATCATAGTGGAAGTGAGGTGTAGAATCCAGTATATGACAGTACAATGATTTATACCTGTTCACTAGATTGGTGTTCTTGTGAGATTCCCAGCTCGTCTGTCTGCTGCTATGCTAAACAACTTCGTGATTGCCTTGTCAGGTTAATGGTAAGTTGATGGGCAGGCGAAAACCATTCTTGATTGGCATTTACTCTTGCTATAGGTTGTCATGATGTCACGGGTCATGCTTCATCTTAGAAAGCAAGTCCGTGACCAACAGCCTTTGTCGGAAATATCTATTTTGGGTTGCCATGCCTTAAAATGGATTGAAAGGCTTCAATTTGCCAGCAGCATTACGACTGACTTGCAAGAACACCCAAAATTGCCATAAGCCGGTTGGCAGTGACCCATTTGGTCTTGCGTCTGCCTTCCAAGGCAGGCCTAAAATATGCATTGACCGTGCCTTACAAGGTGTTAAAAGACAGTTCTAAGTGTCAAGGTTTCTTCCAAGAATATTTTAGCATTTCAACCAAATTTCGTTGTGCAATGTCAATTTCAATGCGACCAATAAAATTCCAATGATAGAAATAAAATTAAAACTGAGATAAATAAAATTGTACTATTGGCGGCACCGGCTTCGAAACTCAACGAAAGCATACATATGAGACACTACGAGACATAATTAATATTAGTGATAGGTGATCTGAAACATTGAATGTCATTACACAGAGTGGAAATACAAAGATGAAGAGGACTTACGAATCAAATTGAGATAAGGCAGCAGAGCATCGCAAGGCAGTCATACCTCAAGTCACATTGACTGACAGACACAATTTAGAAGAAAACAAAAACAATGATTACTATAACACTTATGGGTTTGAACTGGCATGAGGATTACACAGGGCTGGAACGTCACAGCAAGCCAAATGACTGAATTTCGAATGTAAATGCAAGGTTGCAGCCCTAGTAGACGGGTGAGAATTGAGTGGCAATGGGAGAGACAGCGACAGAATCCAGTGATGAGGGAGATGCACACAATGGACTAGCAGCAATAGCAATGAGAGGGGGTAGATTGGGAGTGTCAGAGGCAGTATAATTTTTGTAAAAAAAATAACAATACCTGTCAATGTGCTGCTGCCGCAGTTGCCGTTGTTGTTCCTGTTGCTCAGACTGGTGGCAATGGTATGGACAATGAGCGTGGGTTACAGTTGAGAGTGTCTGAATTGGGGGCGAGATAGAAGTAATAGTGTTGTCAGGGAGCGATTCAGACTTCAATGAAAAGTCATGATCAGAAGGTTGTAGTTGGATCTCAAGAGCCGGAGTAAAGTTGGCATGACTGGGAATATAGCTGCTTATTCAGCTATTTGATTGTGTGTACTTCTGACCTAATTTAGTAGTGATTCTGACTGGTTTGAATGCAGGGTGGTCATAAATTAAGTATCCTCATCATGTGTTGTTTGAGCGATGAAGTCTGAATTGACCTGGCAAAGAATTCAGCACTGTTTGGTATGAAGTCGTGATGTCAGTTCAGCACCCCTGCCAAGAAAAAATAGATGATTTGCGCTTGCCGGTTTATGATGAAGTCGCGATGTCAGTTCAGCACCCCCACCAAGAAAAAATAGATGATTTGCGCTTGCCAGTTTATGATGAAGTCATGATGTCAGTTCAGCACCCCCGCCAAGAAAAAATAGATGATTTGCGCTTGCTGGTTTATGAAGAGGCTGATGAGCTCATTGAGAATACCATTAGATGCAGTGAAGAAGGTGTGGACGTGTGAAACAAAGTGACATTCATTGTCATTAAGACGGTTGGTCCAGACAATTGAATCTAGATAGTAAGAATGGTGAATCGACATAGTAAAGAAGATCTAAAACAATGAGTGCGGGCATGAGTGCAGAGAGTATCGAGACAAATAGTATGTGATCAGACTGATATCACTTCTTGCGGCCAGACCTGCGAACCTCGGTACCTAGCTCATCTGCTTTAGCTTTGCGCCTTGGCTTTGGTTTGGGCTTTGGGGGGATAGGTCCAACCACATTAGGTTCTACAGTGCGAGAACCATCTGTCAAAGTAAGGTCCTGCATTGCTGAAGAAATAGAATTGGATGGCGCTGCAATGATAGGAGCGGGTAAAGTAATGGGAGCGGTCACAGACATGCGTGGCAATCCAGTGGCGGCAATGTCAGGGTCATGTACTGGTAGCGCAACGGAGGCAGATGGTGGGCGTGCAATGGAGGCAGATGGTGGGCGTGCAACAGAGGCAGATGGTGGGGGCACAACGGAGGCAGATTGAGCGATAACAATGGGATCAAATTTAAAAGCAAAAGCTACTCCATGGCCTCCTTCTTCCATGGCACGCTTGAGTTCTTCTTCCCAGTTGTTTTGGGAAGCGCCTAAGTCTGTATCTGCCGTGTCTTGATTGGCATGCAAGGATGAGGTTTCCGGAAAGAGGGCATTGTTGTAAAAGCTAAGGATGTCTCGCGCCCAGGTGCCTCCAGTCATTAGGCATTGCCGATAGTAGTTGTGATATTGGTGGTACATGATGTTGCTTTTTTTGCCCTTAGCATACAGATCCTTGTCGCCTGAGAGAACAAATATTGCCTGTCGACGGACAAACATATAATAATCAGCGTGAACTCAGAAATACGATGTTACAGGAGGACTTACAACAACAGCAGCAGCAGCAATCATACCTGGAGTGGTATTCCATAGTTGCCAGAGTTTGCCCTTAGTCTTGGGAGCTGGAGCATAGGTGGCAGAAAGGGAGGATTTCCCAAAGAGCGCCACTTTTAAGACCTATTGTAATAACAGAAGCCAGACGATCAAGATGTTGCTCATTTACATAGAACAAATACGCACCCGAACAAGCTTTGCTGTTTTGAGAAATTCGTCTTTGTTGGGATGCTCTGGATGAAGAAAGAGTATGGGAGCAAACTTTGTGTGTTCACCATGGGGATTCACAAGCACAACACGGCATTCTGGTTGGGTATCACGAGGGTAGCCTCGAACAAAAAATTCAGGATTCAACCCAAAAATAGCGCCTGCGCAAGATTTGACATCTGACACCATCTCCAAGCGAATGCCACCAACTCCCTTTGCAAACTACCAGAATTAGAATTAGTTTAAGTCAATTTAACTAAGCTGAAAGAGATTCCGTACATGCGGTGCAAAGTTCTTGTGATGCATCAACTCGTGATCAATTTCTGGAATGAACTTGAATAGCTCTGCCTTTACGCCATCCTCTATTGACTGTGGCGACAGCCAGCGCTCACTGCCAAAGAGTTCAATGTTAGGAGGCGCACGCAAGGGAAAAATTTCGGCATTGATCCATAGACAGTGTGTCATATAATATTTGTGCCCGTGAGCCCGTATAGTATCTTCTTTGGCGGAGAGTGCAAGATCCTTGGTGGTCAGGTTCCACCGATGTCCTTTGGCTGTAGTAGCCTCGAGGAGTGCATTCCGTTTCAGTAATTCTCGACATTTACCACGCATATTCAGTAGCAGGTTCTGTGCGACTTCAAGCACCTGAATGTATGTGAGTAGTGGAAAATGACACCAATAACGACAATAAGACACACCTGGCGGACTTCCTGAACAGTCGCACCATCTCTAGCAGGCCCAATGGCAGCACGTACTTGCACAAGATCTTCATCTGAGTCAGTAGAAGAATCAGTCGAGTCTTCATCGATGTGTGAACTGCTTTCGAAGTCTGAATTGTCTTCAGCTCAGTTTTGCTGTCACTGAGGCATGTCAATGATTCGAAGAGAGGTGACGATGAGGTGAAAATTGGCCTGAGGCTTTCAAATTTGCCATGAGATCTTTATATAAATTTTGGCACTTACTTTATGTCATAAACACCATTGATAGCGCGTTCACAGCGTGTTTGAACACATACTAAGGCTACATGGTGCGCTGATAGTCAGAATTAATTGAAGTCTGATGAGTCAATGCACGCCCTACTTACTTCCATGAGTCCTGAACAGACACGTCTTATCACTGGCAGGAGGAGGCACGATGTAATTAATGACAGTCAGGCGAGGGTGCTGTCTTCTTATAAACTTATTTCAGGTGAGGTGCCTGGTGGACATCATTACATCACCACCGTGGTAATAGATAAGGAAGGACATACATTGTACAGGTACTTTACCTCTGAGTAGGGAATGACATGGGTGTACCCATGGGTGTCGCAAGCATCACCCGCACCCACACCTGCAGGTATACCCACACCCCCATGGCAGGTGCGGGTCTCATGGTGGGTTGGTGGGTAGTATAGTGGCAGGTGTGGCACAACAGTGCCCGCATCGACTGTGTGGACAGACGAGTCCATGCTGCTGCGCCGTGAAGACGAAGAAGTACCTGTGCTTGTCGCACCAGAACCTGTTCTGAAAGTGTCTCCTCCATAACGGAAGGAGTGCCAGGCATGTTAGATGCGCTTGGGGGCTCGGTGAGGGAGGAGCGCTGCACACAAGCATTGTGTCGAGAGCGCTTCCAAATAATATCGGATTTCATACTAATGGGACAAGCAGAGCCGTGAAGCTTATAGTAGAGGCCGCATCTGTATGTATATAAGAGATTGGTACGAATATAGAAGGAACAACAAATGAGAACTTACGCATTGCAAACGGTCTTGCCTTCATCATCCTTCCTCCACAAAGGAGTTGCAACCAGGACTCACCACCTCCACGACTCGGACCGGTGTAGGGATTCATTTGTGGCTAGGCTTGGAGAGACTGTCTTTACCTTACCTTATGTTGGCACTTTGTAGCTTACATAATAAAGTTATCTTTTCACCAGTTACCAGTATGAGTCTGTCTGAGTCTTGAGCAGTTTCTATCATATTTCCTCTTCTCTGAGCCTTGAGCCTGGTCCAGAAACCCTTTAGGGTCGAATAGCAGCTAGGTTCTGCAAGACCCAACATTGTTCAGACTCACCATCTGAATTGTTGTACCTTCACCGGTGTCGCAGAAGAAGAAGAATGCGGTGGTGCTGCAGCTGAGGACAGTGTGGACAATGCAGAAGCCAAAGATGACGCACCACCCGTGTTGTCCTTCTCCATGACTAGCACGCATGGACTTTGGACGCGGACATTTATGCTACCAAAGAGAAGAGAAATGAGACGTCCGCTCAGCAAAGTCCATACAACGTATATAGATGAAATAATAGAACTCTTAATGCGGTTGTCCATAATATAAGTTACCAGCGGGCACCTGAAAATGAGCCTCTACCCTAGGAGGACCTCAAAGTTTTGGCACGGAGGAACATGTCTGTGTCCACAAGATCGACGAGGAAGAAGTCACCATTGTGGTCAGGATCTGGCACGAGTAATGCACCACGAATGATAGATTGCAGGGAAATGAATTCCGATGAAGCTGGAGGCCATGCCTGAAGACGAGTTAGCCCCAGATCACGATCCACGCTGCGTCTTGAACCAGTAGGAGCATCCATAGGTAGGACTAATGCAAGTTCAAAAGTGTGATTGCCGACCACGAACTTGAACATGAACAGTATCCAGACAAAGGTATTCTTGTCGTTCCCATCCTTGTCTAGGGTGCGGATCAAGGCACAATCACGATTAGACATTCAGGAGGACGCAGATGAGTGAAACAACCTTGTCGTTAGCAGTAGGCCGCAGCCATGTAACACCATCGGCCAAAGGGATGTTGTTTGAAACAACGAAATTGTTGAGGAACTTCGCAAACTTCTTTCGAAAATCCTGAAATGCACGATTTGATGTGTTGCCTTCCTCCACTGCGGCGAGACTGACAGGGACTTGAGGGGTGCCGATGTAGAGATGACCCGCAAATGGTTGATCATCTAATGTATCCTCATCCTCGAGTTCTCTCTGTGACATTATGCGTTTCTGCTGATCTTCATCGAAGTGGAGAATCCGACTGCGGACCAATTCAGAAACCAGGCTGATATGATCAAGCTTCAGGACCTGTGTATTAATGTTAGCGTCACAAGCAGACTGAATTAGTAGGGAAGAGCACCTGATTGGCAACATCCTTACGATTTGTTTGATGTAAGTATGCTCACTTCAATGGTCCGTGTTGTTTCTCATTCGGCCGAGTACTGAAGTTGCGTGCTGCTCCTTTCGCACGAATATCAGAGAAAGCATGTGTCAGAGCGTGCACCTTGGGAAAATTCCAGTTCTTCGTCAAATCTTCGCCCTGGATGTCAATATATGCCTGAAGATACGTTAAGATACATCTGAAAGTCAAAGGAAGCAAATACATGTAAGCGTGTTTCAAATACTACGAGCTCTGCCTCTCCAGCAGCAAGTGTGGCTTCAGTATGCACATCAAGCGCTATGTACATGGTCAGTTGCAGGTAGCTAGCTATACACTGCAACAGTGTATAGCCAACAGGATCTTCATTGCGCATCAATACACTTTGTGCTGCATACAGCATTTGCTAAGGGTCCAGAGGGTATTCGTGAGTTTATTGATACAACAGTAAAATCGCCCACCTTGGCAATATCTCTAAGTTTGTTGCCGTCGCTAAACGATATCTTCATAACGGACTTGAAATGGTTCAAGTCACGCCATCGTGGAAACATATTGAACCTACGGAGTCCTGGTAGAGATATAATGTACAAGACGAAGACAAAAAAATGTACTGTCCATCAATTGTTGCCTCAGCCTCACGACCAAGAGCCTTCGCGCGTATTTTGAGCTCCTTGAAAAGGTGGGTGCCCCAGTTACCAATGTCATTGACATGTAAGGGATCGAATGAGAGTGTCTCATGAGGATTGGAGTTCTCGACTTCCCAGAATGCATTCTGATGGTATGATAGTCAATTGGATTAGATCATGAAAGCAATTGAAACACAAACCACAATAGGACGCAAACTGTGTTCCTTCAATACTACTTCTCCAGCAACACAATCCCTCAAATACAACTCTAAGAAAGCTTTTGCATCCTCAACGGTTCAAGTAGGATATGTTGTGCTGAGATCGGAAAGTTTGGTCAAGGGGATGAGACAGTTAGGGCAGGGACAATTTGAATTCAGCCCACGTACTAGTGCCATCATGCATCTGTAAACATGTGAGATGTCAAGTAATACAAGCCTCGAGAACACGTACTGTTCTTCATAGTCTGCGGACAACAGTAAAATTAGTGGGTATATCCACCGCATGATGCCATCAAAGCATTTGTGCGCAAAACCTGTTTTGGAGTACAGGATGATAGACTCCAACAACTTGATAAAAGCCTTGTGCCAAACGACATGTTTGAGATTTGTGTAGCTGAGCTTGCCATCCTCATTCGAATCTGTAGGAACCTATTGAATTTGCGGGTCAACTTAATACTGACGAACATCTGAATCTATTACTATTGAAGCTCAAACACTTACAATTGGTAGCCAGCCAACCACGCGACCTCCTCCGATCCCATCACCATTTCTTATGTGAACGGGAAGATTTGCACAACGAGCTATTACCGGGTATGCCTTCACATGTCCAGACGAGGTGAGATGGGTTTTGTCGGCATAGAGGATGAGAGCAAACAGGACACCATTGTCCGGCAACGATGACTACAATGAACCAAGCGCATATATTACACATTGATTAGCAGCATGATACAAAACACTAATGCATGATAATGCATACTTGAATTCGCCACCAGCGATCTGCAGTCCAAGGCTCGTGAATGAACAGTTTGAAATCAGTACTATCATGTTTGTATAAATGTTGTGCATCCCAAATGAAGTGTGGTGCCAATAACGGATCTTCCAACAAGTCCATAGCCCAATCCCATAGTGGCCGTGTATGTACATCGAATTCGAGTTCCTCTTTCTTGTATGGGACAGAGATGACATGCTTCTGAAACTGCGCAACAAATTATACCTGAATGTTCAGTAACATAGCGAATGATTTTTGAGACAACTCACAGGTGTCATTTGAGTAGCAGCTTGATCCCAGGCTTTGGACACTTCAGCGTGAGATCTGAATGTAAACTTTGTGTGACCCTCGACGATCTGCCATATCAACTGCAGCATCTTGTTAGTTTGGTCCTTATTGAGCGCCGCTTGGTGTGCGAGTTCTGCAAACTCGAAATCTGCGCGGCACATGAAAGGTTGCCACAGTTCGTCATCGACAATGGGCAGGGGGCTAGCATCTGAATCTGCTTCAAGGGAGTGTCCAAAGGTAGAGAAGGTCTTGATACATGGGGCGCGCCCACTGTTTGAGTGGTATTCAGTTTGAAAGGTGTCACAAGCAATAGGGACCGCAGCAGCAGCAGCAGTCCTGCTCGTCAACATGCTTGTATCTGAGTCTGATCCTGGTAAATTTAAAATGCAATTAGAAATGAAAAATGCAAGAATGATATACACACATATCCGTGAATCTCCCCCAATGCTCATAACATCATCCATGCCGCCATAATACTCCATGCCATCATGCGACGATCCTGATACAGCGTTGTTGGCACCCTTGATATCTGATTCATAGACATGCTGATCGTCCGAGGCATCCACAACCGCAGATTGCAAAGGTCCAGTTTGGGCCGTTTGATTTTGATGCTTCTTGAAGTGGCGTTGTCGATTCAGATCCTTGTGATGTTCTAATCACGATTCAGATTCAGATATATGATCAATTTAGAATTTTATGCGTGACATACCTTTCCTTTGGGCCTTGACCACCTGAGCCGCAATGTCAGCAAACTCCTTGTCAAATTGTTTCTTGTCCTGCTTCCGTGAACAGCTCCCCTCATGTGACTTGATGCCATGAGCAGAGAAAGATCCATTGCAGAACTTGCAGCATACAGACTGTGCAGATGTAGACTGTACATATGCACGTTTTTTGGTATATGACATGTAAGATACAAAGAGAATGGGAGTTATAGACAATATTTGGATGTTATGATGAGGGCGTCGATATCAGAGATTTAGATTCCAAGGCCCTTCTAGCTTTGTCAGCTTGTTGGAATGCACATGGCACCTTGCGAGACACTCAAAATAAACTCGGACCAACTTGCATTTTGGATCCAATTCAGTTGGCATGCATCACAATTCAGTCCAAATATAGCAGCCTTCTAAGCCCCCTTTACAAATTTCCGACATTGTTCACCTATGATGTCAAGGTTTGCACCTGAACACTGGCAAATATCAACGAGGTCCTTTGCAGACCATGATTTACAGCTGAAATCACCATGTTCGGTGAAGGTTCAACAATACAGCGAGGCACGAACAATGCTCCTGGTTGTATCTATAAATGTTGTAAGGTCGCGCGTTGCCTAGTCTGCTATACTTGAGACAACAAGTGCGTTCGACCCTAAAGGGGAAGCGAGTGCAGCAAGGATCTAGAGGTATGCGCTGAAAGCGCTACTGGTTGGCCAATGCGAAGCGCGAGAAAGTGCAGGTGGGCGCAAGGCGCGGGAATGCGCGCGTGTATGGCGCGAAGCGTGGGAAAGCGTGCGCGTGTATACAGATACGAGAGAGAGTAAGAGTGAGTTTGCTTAAGTGATGATATGATGTAAGACAAGAGAAGGGAGATGCGAGGTGTAAACAAATAGATTTCTACTATGTTCTGCTAGGTGAATAGTGGGTAGTAACCAGTAAGTCCTCTGTCGTTCTGGTGGGAGAGTAAGTTTTCCAGTAAGTATGTACTGTTGGTGCTTAAGTATGGCGCCTAAGCGCTGTCATGCGGAGCCAAAGCGCTACCGAGTAAGGTATGTAAAGATATATGTAAGTAAGGGTCCATAAAAATAAAGATGGAACGATATGCAAATGTGAGAAATGGAAATATACGCACTAGGGAACTTGGTGGACAGTGGATGGATGCTTCCGGATGGCTGGCGCTATAGGGCGCTACAGCGCGGGAAAGCGCGCGCGCATATACATCGTGAAGTGCGGGAAAGGTACGCGCGCATGGCGCGCGTTGCACGGGAAAGCTGTGCCTCATATAGAGATAGCTGCAGGTAGCACACAGAGTGATGCTACAAGTTCGTGCCATGTACTCCCCAGTGAAAACTGCCATATTGCACAATGAGAGGCATGAGTCTCTACATCGGTTCCATCCATCTCAATCGAATTTGATTCCACGGATGATACTCAATCCTTCGAAAGTGTTGATGTGGAGTCTGCCATGTCTCAATAACCCTAGGGCATTGTCTCAGCCAAGGGTGGCACAATTTTGCCCTGCATGCTGTGACGTAATGCTCAGGAAGCCTGTGCCATGATCCATTCTCACACCAGTTAGCTAGGCAGTCAGTAGTAGCGCTGGCACCAGAACAGTATGTTTTCTGTTACGTCTGTCATTCTTGTTTGACATTTTGCAGGAACATGCACTTTAATGTACGTGTTTTGACCTCCATTTTGGATGACCGAATGCCTGCGCCTTTTGATTGTCATACATGCAGTCACATAGTTACAATCACGCAGTTATTACATTTGATGTTGAACCAAGAAATGTATACATATCTTACAAAAGCAGGATACATCACAAGGAGGATGATCATGGAAATTATTATCCCCGACTCTCCGAAGTAGGGAGGGTTCTGTCAGATCCAAACGTCCAGGCACCTGTATTTTCATGTGTGCATGAAAATATTGCCTTTTTCATAAATGGGCCAGAGCCTAGATTCTACTATAGCCCATCAATTGTCCTGCAGGCTGCCGAGCTTCTGCCACATACTGGTCAAATTTTGCACTTGAAAAACTGCCCATCCTGCATAAGTATTCCTTGACTTCATCTTGCAGTTGAAGCCCCGCCTTGGTAAGCTCGTCCTCCTTTGTCCTACCCTTTTCAGTTTCACAATCCCTGTCGTTCCTCAGGCGCTGTTCATCCATTGTTGTGGTGTCGCAGTTTATGCGCAAGATTTCGTGCACACATGCTCATGTTCTTGATGTTGGAGATTGTCTGCCTCACAATGTTGATCACCTTACCCAATCACACCCTCTGTTTTATGACCCTTTGTATTACCCCCAGTATCATTCTGCTGTGTTTGGGAATGCTGCCGGTTTTTGTACTTGGTTGCAGTCATCGCTCATCTTGCATGACTGTACTTGTTACTGTTACCATCAGAACCTAGCGTGGACCACTTTTGCTACTGATGTTCTGGTTCAAGTGGACAACCATGATGTCTTTTCCTCCATTCTGGCTGCCAGGACAATCTGGAGTATTATCTTGTGGCCACACTGAGTGCCGATCCGCCTTGGCTTTCGCATCCCATTGCAAGTTATGATAGAACGCTCAGTTCATTAACCACTCCTATTCTTCTTGCAGCTGCACAGCGCATTGGGTGCAAGTGATCTCATGCCCGGCTCAAAGAGAACAGTATGTAGTGTTTAAGGAGGTGCCTTGGGAGCCAGCTGTACTATGCACTGTCGGTGTAACCTCAGTGTGAGATTACCACCTGACAAGCGACGCAGACTGGAGAGGGCCCACTGCTGCTGCAAAATACATATACAACGCAAGACTGTCGTGCATGATAGAGTTGCCTCACAATGTCCCATTTGCATTTGACAACAATTTGACAGTCAAAAATCTGAAATTATTGCAAGATGATGCTACAGAGCTGGAACGGCAAGAGTTCTTGGTCAAAGACAGAATGGTCAGACTGAAATTTGAACACAAATTTGTGAAGGTGAGCAATCACAGATACGGAGAGGATCACATGTTGACAAGAAAAGACAGTGAGGACATAATACATTCAAGAATAACAACATTGGGGAGTGGCCGATGCACACCCTAGAAGCGTGAGAATGGACAAGTTGTCGAATACACATCACATCACTTCGCTGACGGCATTCAATTTTAATGGGGAAAGAATCGTGCCTGCAGAATACAGTCGTCACCCAAAGGGTGCGCTGGTACAGGTGTATTTCACCTGGAGCCACACCACAAACGAAAGAATGAACACATACAGAGCAAAAATTATGGCCATCACAGTGCTGGCACCGCTGCCGCCCCCAGGTTCATGCTTCCAATGTACAGTGTAAATGCACCCTTGGCAGCACTTTGAAGATGTTCCCACGTACTGTCAGACATTATTATTATGTAGCAAATATATAGTCTGAGAGACCCCCTCCTCCAGGAGGCTTCTCCCTAGTTTTCCAAGGATGTGGCCATCCCCTCGAGAGCATGTAACCAGAGCCTCGTCACAGAGGGTGACCTGGTATGTTCCTTGGAGAGCCTCAACATAGCAGCCTCTCCAGATGCTCACTGTGTGCCTCCCCGTGTCAGCATCTCCATGATGTTGGTGAGTGTGTTCTAGAGCCTCTCACATCTATATGTTTTCCATACTTCCATATTACACTTTGAATGTTTTGATCTCTACATATTGTAAGAACAGAGCAAATTCCAATTGGTGTCGACGTCATGTGCGCACACCACTTGAGCTTGATCCATATTGATTACGAGTGTTTCCGATTGCCTTTGGACATTCCCTATATTCCATCACAGTAATAGGTGCCTGTACACTACGTTAGCTGTCGTCTTATCCTTGTCATTCTCTATTGGAAACAGCGCTTGAATGTCATGACGACATCGCACTCTCGAAAGTGCTGTGTATAGCTGTCCATGTGTGAAGGTCCAGCACAGCTTTCTGCAATGCGAGTCCTTGACAACCGTTGAACATGGTTGCATATGCCGGTCTGAGAGGAAACTGTTTGCGGTTGACTGTCCAGGTGCATCGCGGGAGTTTGAAAGAGAACATGAGGCGAGGCAGGCAATGGGTCTCTCCAGTCTGAGGGATCTCGATCTCGACGCATCTGCAATGAAGCGCAGTGATGCGTGCACACACGTTTCGCACCAATACATTTTTGACTGACATGTTTCATTGTATCGTGCATACCGCATCCACCTTGAGATCGAGGCGATGGGGAGACGTGTTGGTGTGATTCAACATTGCAAGGTATTCAGGAGTCTGTGCTGGGAGCCACTCAGGGACCTTGGCTAGTGCCACTAAAATGGTAAGGCCATCAGAAGCGAATATCAAAATGCTATAGCTTATGGTATGGTGTGGAATCAACCATGAAGACACCGGGAGAGGTGGAATGGGAGAATTTGTCGAGAGCCCAGCCTGCAAGGGTCAACAAAGGGATCGTTGTTTTCTTTCACTTCATAGCCATAAGAGATGCGCAGAATGATAGCGCCAGCAGTGCCGGCAATGTACGGGACCTTTATACCTGTACCCCATACCGTCAACTCAAGGTTGAAACAGCCAATGGTACGGGTACAATGAACAGCCCTAGGAAGCATAAATAAATGATCAGCTATAGTTATAAATGTGAAAAAATCATACCTATTGTGCAAGACGCCGGATGCAGACAGTGCACAACACACAGAAATGAGCAAAGATGCTTGTCAGCGATGTACTACATACATAGATAAATGAAAAAGACGCACCTAGATTGCAGACAAGCAGGGACAGTTACTGATGAACTGGGACATATGTCAACCTCCTGGTCTGGTGATTGGAATCCTCCTGTAATGTTAGCCTGCCAGCATGCAGACTAGGTACATACTCTTGAAAATATTGGGGTTCGGGATGGTTCGGGATGCGTCCGAACCAGAGTTGAACTGTTCGCCCAATGCCAGAGCCGAGAACCATATTATTGGGGATGGGCAAGACCCTGCCAATTTTAAACTCTGACCGTGATTTCCAATTCCTGTTCTACAGTGGGTGGTGGCTGAAATGACTGTCCAGCAGAAATATCGCATGGTGGCATTTAACAGTCATGTCGCAACAAAAAATGTTGGAAGCAGATAGACATAAAACATGATAAAGCTTGTATTCTATGAGAAAAAAATGCAAAAGTGTGGTCCTTGCATTGAATATATTGTCAAATGGGACAGAATACAAGTTTTTTCC